TACAACCTGTATGAAGCTCCTCCTCTCAGTGGGTTTCTTATTTCTATGTGGAATCTCCTCTCTTGCAGTGTCCTGTAAATAAAGATTAAATTCCAAAAAAAAAAAAAAAAGAATTCTAGGTACACACATGAAAGATAGTTATGTAAATAGGTATTTGGGTTGATTGAATTCTATTTTGGGTCATATAGACAAGATGGTGCATCTGAATCATGCTATAAAATCAGATTCCAAAAACAAGTAAGACTGACTCTCACCTAGTTCTGGAGAATTTCCCTGGGTCCATTCTTATCATCATTTCCTGTGCTCCCGAAGATCCGCTCATCAATGCATAAAACTTTCAACTGGGCTGGGAAAAAAGAAATAATAACTCCAGTCTTGTGTTCTAAGGTAATGATTGTGAAGATAATCCCAATGAAGACTGAGTAGCACCAAGGAAATGTGAGGCTATGATAGTAAATGCAAAATGCAGGAATGCACACTTGCATCTCCCCTGTGTTCTTGGTAAAAATCAAAACATGTATGTCTATGGGCAAGAGGTAAATAGACTACCAGACATGAAAACACTGTTTACAGTCTGTAATATTATGTTGTTTTATAACTAAGACATATTGGGAAAATAGGTATGTTGAATGTACCCACATCCACAGACACAAAGATTAGAAGTCCTTAATACTTGGAATCTCACACAAATGTCCAGGGAAACAGGGAAATGAAAACTAGAGCACTCGATCAATACATATTTGATTGTCTAGCATGTGCAGATAGTGGTGGGAGCTAGAAACAAATGAGGGATGTGTGAGCTCAGTGCTCATGCACTGCTCCTCTGAGTGTGGACCGTTGACACCCACATGCAGCTAACTACCAAATAAAGTAAAACTGATCCGTGTTCTCTTTGATGTATCATCCAACAGGCACGGGATCGCAGAGGAGAGAATAAGGGAAGTGTAAAAATGTTTCAAAGGAAAGGTGGCGATTGTGTCATTTTCTTGACACGTGATGGGGGAGGGGCTTTTGTTCACTCCTCTCTCCTCCCTACTTGTGGTTGGCCATGCCCATGAACTCTTAGACATGTCATCTCATTTTATTCTCATGACTGACCTACGAAGGTGGTAAAATTATTTTCACTTTCACATAGGGGAAACCCTATGAAAGGGTTTGTACGTTTGTAAAACCTCTCCCCTTGAGTTCTGGAACTTCCCAGACTGAGACGGCTCCTCTCTTTTTCTTCTCCAGACATCAGGCTGCTCTGCAGGTACCCAATTTGGGCTAGGGTGAAATCACCTTGGCATTCCACTAACTTCAGTTTTAGGTTTTACACAATTTTGGGGTAAGGACAGCTGTTTGTGGGGGTGGGGTGGGTTGTTTTTTTTTTAATTAGCCTTTATTCATCCAGTGCCCTGGTCACTCTGTGTAATAAGTTAGGTGGTCAGGTAAGCTTGCAAGTGTGCCTTTTTAAGAACCTCACCTAGCAGCAGAGAAAATTAAACCTTGGAAAGAATTTGGCTCAACAGCCAGTCATATGCCTTGCTTTATAGCATACCCAGCCAATATAGGGAGGAGGGTGAGCGTGTGTGGAAAAAGATAGGTTAAGAGATTAATTTTTAAGCACTAAATATTTATTGACAGAATATCTCTCCAGGCAGTGTTCACATGCTTAGAACTGAAGCTTTTAACTTGGCAGTGCTGTTTAAGCAAACAAAGCCAGTCAGTTGAACGCAATGATTAACAGAAGTTGGGGAGCTGACGCGGTTGCCAGCTGTTGGCCTGGAGAAGAGCCTAGGGTAGAAGTCTTAGGGGGATCACTTGCGGAATGCTGACCTCACCCTTCGGTGATTTTACCGCGGAGATAGGTGGCTGCATCAGAATCAGAATCTGCCCGAGGCCGCTTGTTTTTGTGTGGTAACAGGTTGCAGGTTAACGGGAGCCGGAGCAAAGCAAATCCAAGGGAGCTACTTCAGAGATGTGTCAGAGAAAGGTGGAAATGAAACAGTGGTGAATGAGCAGGGAAGGAAGACAGCAAAAGGACAAAACGGTCAACAGGAAGGGCACACAACCACTGATCAGAATTGTGTCTACCAAGAGGATGATTTATGGATTCTGGAGAAAATATAAGTTAAATATATCTACATTCTGATCGGCTCTCGAGAGACATTTCCCTCACTTTCTGGTCTTGAATGATGGTCTCTTGGAAGCATTGTCTTTTTACCGTGTCTCTTATCACTGCCCTGATTTTTGTCTTTGTTTACAATAACGAGTTATGGGAGGAGAAGCATTTTCTGAAGGCATCTCTGTCCAATGCTTCACTGTTAGCAGAAGTCTGTCATCGGATTTTTAAGGGGAAGGTTTTTTACCCAAGAGAGAATGCATTGAAAACCACCCTCAGTGAATCTACCTGTTACGAGTACATGGCTCAAAGTCACTACATAACAGAAACACTATCGGAAGAAGAAGCGGGGTTCCCTTTGGCGTACACGGTGACCATCCACAAAGACTTTGGCACTTTTGAGAGACTCTTTAGGGCAATTTACATGCCCCAAAATGTCTACTGTGTTCACGTGGATGAGAAGGCGACAGATACATTTAAAGATGCAGTGAAGCAATTACTGAGCTGCTTCCCAAATGCTTTCCTGGCTTCCAAGATGGAGCCAGTTGTCTATGGGGGGATCTCCAGGCTCCAGGCTGACCTGAACTGCATCAAAGACCTCGCGGCGTCCGACGTGCCCTGGAAGTACGCCATCAACATGTGTGGACAAGACTTTCCCCTGAAAACCAACAAGGAGATAATTCGGTATCTGAAAAGCTTTAAAGGGAAAAATATTACCCCAGGGATTCTACCCCCCAGTCACGCTATTGGACGGACTAAATTCATCCACCAGGAGCTATTAAGCAAAAAAAATTCCTACGTGCTTAAAACAACAAAATTGAAAACTCCACCTCCTCACAACATGACCATTTACTTTGGCACTGCCTATGTGGCCCTCACAAGGGAATTTGCCAACTTTGTCCTCCAAGACCAGCATGCACTTGACTTGCTTTCCTGGTCCAAGGACACTTACAGCCCTGATGAACATTTCTGGGTGACCCTCAATAGGATCCCAGGTATGTGTGTCTCTTAACTTTTGTTCTTATGGGTAAACACTGCATGGTCGATACTGAATGAACTGCTTTAAAAAATAGTAAAAAAAAAAAAAAGGTTAACATGTCAAAGATCTTTGCAGTTTTAAATGTTAATTAAAAAAATCTTTATAGCAGTTCTGCTCACCAATGTCACTCATGATAAGGCTCATGTCCATTTTACAGTTGAGGAAACTAAGGCATAGGGATTAGCAGGGCAGAGGTAGAGCTCAACCCTCTGACTCGATTTTGCTGATATGTCAAACTGCCTTTCTGGACCCACAGACCAACATCAGATATGTGCTGCAGCCTTGAGATAGGGCAAAGGATTGAGGAAAAGCCGGCTGTGCCAATGAAAGACTAAATCCAATTCTCCTTTAAGTGTGATGTCATTTACAATCAGGAATAAGTATTATAAAGTAAATTGGAATGGCAATTTGAACATTTTAATAATACTTTCACTCCTGTCAAAGCTCCAATAGCTAAATTCACATGCTTTCAAAATGGGAGCAGCGTACGACTTTAAAACTTTTTATTTGCAAGCTCTTTCCTGGAATTGAATCAGAAATTTAGAGCACCTTAAAGGTTTCTAGACCAGTACCTTCATTTTATAGACAAAGAAACTTCAATGGGATTGTGTGAAGTCCTCAAGCTACCCAGCTAGTGAGCGATCGTGCCAGTGATATAAACCGGGTCTCCTGAGCCTGATGTTCTTTTGATTTCAGTTAGATCTCAGTCGTTACTAAATTAACTGCTCCTTTCCTTTGGCCCAAGTTCTAAATGATTTGAATGATCTCAAGTTGTTTTTAGTGAACGGATTCAGTTCTGCTAGTTCAATTCAGAATAAAAATTCAGATTCACAGTTCAAGGGAAAAGTAACTTGAATCAATTTGAGCATCAGAGTCATGGTTTCTTGAGATTAGTGGTTCAACCCTGGAGGCATACTACATTCACCTGGAGCTTTTAAAAATACATAAGGTCAGGCCCCATTTCCCACAGGGCCTGACTTCTGGGGTGGGCCTCACCTTAGGTATTTGTTCTGTCTCTGGGTAATTCTCAGGGACAGCCAGGGCTGTGAACCATTGCAGATGCTTGTTTTAGATGTTGTTATACAAAACTTCATAGACTTAGAATGCCTTTTTTTTAACCACTTGAAAACAACCTCTCATTTATTTTTAAGATTTATTTTTAAGTGAGGTATAATTAGCATATAACATTATATTAGTTCCAAGTATACATACAGCATGACCTGCTATTTGTAGATATTGCAAAATGATCACCACTCTAAATCTGGTTAGCATCCATCACCACGTAGAGTTGCAATTTTATTTTTCTTGTGATGAGAATTTTTTTGTATGTGTGATGAGAACATTTAAGAACAGCTTTCTTGAAAATAATAAAATAATAATAATAATAATAATAAAGAGCTTTCTTAGCAATTTTCAAATATACTGTCAGAGAGGAAAAAATTTACCTCTTCTTTTCAACGTTATTCTGTCTGGTCTAAGAATTCAATTGACATGAGATGAATTAACAGGAGGAAAAAAACCAAAGTTTAATTACTTGTGTGCAGAGAACCAATAATGAAAGTACGACCCAAAGAAATGATGATGGCATCTAGCTTTTATACATTTTAAACAAAGAGACATAAATCTGTGAGAAATTGACAGGACAAAGAAAACTTATGGTTGGGAGCCTCAATTACTAAGAAATTCTAAACAGGATTTGGGCTGGGGTAATAAATTAGTAAAAGTACCAAGGTTTGTTTCTCCATTCTTCTCGGCTCTGAATTTCCTACCTCTGGTGAGAAGGATGTCCCTTTATCTCCTGATACAGGGAGTGTAGCTTTCCACGGGAGATTTATTTCCTGCTTTCTGGAGACAAAAGGTGGGGGGAGGGTCAGGATGTTGCTCTTGTGCGGGCTCTTTCTTTTCTTTTCTTTTCTTAATTTAAATTTTACTTAGCTAACATACAGTGCAATATTGGTTTCTGGAGTGGAAATCAGTGATTCATCACTTACAAACAACACCCAGTGCTCATCACAAGAAGTGCCCTCCTTAATCCCCATCACCCATCTAGTCCATCCCCCACCCACCCCCCTCCAACAACCCTCAGCTTGTTCCCAGTGGTTAAGAGTCTCTTATGGCTTGCTTCCCTCTCTCTTTTTTCCCCCCTTCCCCTATGTTCCTTTGTTTTCCTTTTTAAATTCTACAAATGAGTAAGATCATATGATATTTGACTTTCTCTGACTGACTTATTTCACTTAGCATAATACCCTCTAGCTCTATCCACATTGTTGCAAATGGCAGGATTGCATTCTTTTTGATGGCTGAGTAATATTCCATTATATATAGATGTGTATATATATGAGATATTTATATTTATATGTGTATATAAATATGAGACATCCATATTTATATATGTATATATATGAGATTTATATATTTATATACTTATACACATATAAATCTCACATCTTCTTTATCCATTCATCAGTCGATGGACATTTGGGCTCTCTCCATAGTTTGGCTATTGTTGATAATGCTAGTAATGTAAACACTGGGGAGCACATACCCCTTCAAATCTGTATTTTTGTATTATTTGGGTAATGCACTGTCTCTTTCTTAAGTAACTTTAGTTAAAAAAAGTGGCACATTTTTGGGGTGGGCTGCCCTTGGGCCCCACAGTATAATACAATATTATTAACTATAGTCACCATGTTGTACATTACATCTCTATGACTTATTTATTTTAAAACTGGAATTTTGTAGGGGCACCTGGGTGGCTCAGTCATTAAGCATCTGCCTTCAGCTCAGGTCATGATCCTGGGGTCCTGGGATTGAGCCCCACATCGGGCTCCCTGCTCAGTGGGAGGCCTGCTTCTCCCTCTCCCACTCCTCCTGCTTGTGTTCCTTCTCTCACTGTGTCTCTCTCTGTCAAATAAATAAAATCTTTAAAAAAACAAAACAAACCTGGAAGTTTGTAACTCTTGACCACCTTTATCCATTTGACCCCCCATCCCCCCATCCCATCTCTGGAAACCATCAATTTGTTCTCTGTATTGTGAGTGCTTTGTTTTTTTTTTTCCCCCAGATTCCACATATAAGTGAAATCATACAGTATTTGTCTTTCTTTGTCTGACTTATTTCACTTAGCATAATGTCTTCAAGGTCCATTCATGTTGTCACAAATGGCAAGATGTCATTCTTTTTTATGCTCAGTAACATTCCATTGTATATGTATCACATCTTCTTTATCCATTCATCCACTTACGGACACTTAGGTTGTTTCCATGTCTTGGCTATTGTAAATAGTGCTGCAATGAACAGGGGGTGCCATATCTTTTTCATCTAGTGTTTTTGTTTTTTCAGATAAATACCCAGAAGTAGGATTGCAGGATCATAGGGCAGTTCTATTTTTTTTAAGGTTTTATTTATTCATTTGAGACAAAGAGATACAGAGAGAGAGCATGAGCAGGGGGAGAGGCAAAGGGAGAGGCAGAGGGAGAGGGAGAAGCAGACTCCCCGCTGAGCCGGGAGCCCAATGTGGGGCTCGATCCCAGGACCTGGAGATCATGACCTGAGCTGAAGGCAGATGCTTAACCATCTGAGCCACCCAGGTGCCCCAGGGCAGTTCTATTTTTAACTTTTTGAGGAACCTCCATACTGTTTTCCAGAGTGGCTGTACCAATTTACATTCCCACCAACAGTGCGAGAGGGTTCCTTTTTTTCCCACATCCTCGCCAAGACTTGCTATTTCTTGTCTTTTTGATAATAGTCATTTTAACAGGTGTGAGGTGACATCTCATAGAATACTTTTTAAATCTGCGGATTTCCAAAAGTTGGAAGGGGTAATGTTGTAGTGATAAAAGAAATCAGGACTCAAGAAAGTAGGGGGGGAGTCATGACCATATAATTGTTTATATGGAATTCTAGTGTCCAGAGTGAGGGAGGAATAACCCCACTTCTGACTTACATGTTGCTTGGATCAACCATGATGTTGACTGTTTAGGTATGAGCACCATACTTTAAGCAAAGATGTTAACAACACAGTTTCCAAAGACAGCAGCCAAGAAGGATAAAAGACCAAATCCCATTTTTTTTTCTAGAAAGAACCAAGGCAAACAAAAAGGTTATTCAATCTGAAAAAGATTTGAAAAAGGATCACTGTCTTCACAAAATTAAAAGATTTGCTCATTTGGAAGAAGAATCTAGGGTCAGTGGTGGGAGATTTAAAAACCTGTCAATCTGGAATTAGAATGGGTATCTTCCTCAGTGATGAACAAGTAAAAGGGATAGGTAGAAACAGAGAAGGAGAAATGCAGTGAAGGCAGCTCATTTATCAGGTGTTAGATAAGATGGCCTGTGAGTCTCTTCCACTCTGAGATTCCATGATCCTAAAGGATGATTCTAATCAGTTTGTTGAACAGAAACTTAAGACTAACACCCTGGCTTCTCAACCTGGTTTATCTATTGGAAATGGATTTTTACACATCTGGTTATCAGTTACAGATCAGTGAAGCAATGGAAAACCATTGCACTGCTCCAAAACTTAGAAGAGTGAGCCCTTGAAGTAGTTTCTGTCTTGTATGTATGAAGGATCCTTTTTTTTTTTTTTAAGATTATTTATTTATTTATTGGGCAGAGAGGGAGAGAGAGGGGAAGGAGGCAAGAGGGAGAAGCAGGCTTCCCTGCTGAGCGAGGAGCCCAATATGGGGCTCGATCCCAGTACCCTGGGATTATGACCTGAGCGAAGGCAGACGCTTAACTGACTGAGCCACCCAAGCACCCCTGAAGGATCCTTTCTGGAAGCCGGTGCCCCCTCACTGGTAAAGTTGGCTCATGAAGGACCTGGGTGAGCCTTAGTAGAGAGCTTGGTCATGAGGAGGGAATGGAACTGAAACCTAAGCGTTTGTCTTATTTAACTATCACTCCTGCTATGTGGAAATCTGAGTCAATTCTGTTTTGAGGGCACTTCTAGTTGATGTATTAATTGGCTGCTTGATTGTTTTGGACATTTTAAGGTTTTTCTAGTTGACTGCAGTGATTGGGGGTTTATTAGGATTCTCAAAGAAGTAATCGGGCCAGGACAAAAAATCTCACAGACAAAATGGCCTCATGGGGAGCTAGAACAGCACCACCCAATAGAAATATAACATGAGCCATATATGTAATTTTAGATTTTCTAGTAGCCACATTAAAAGAAATAAAAACAAACTGTGTGTTATATGCAAATGATAAATTATTGAACACTACATCTGAAACTGATGACGTACTATATGTTGGCTGATTTGAATTTAAATAAAAAAAATTTAAACATATAAAAAATAAAAACAAAGAGGGGAAATTAATTTAAGTAATATATTGTATCTAACCGAGTATACCCCAAATATCATTTGTATGTGTGGTTGGTGTACTCGCAGCAGGTGTCCTCCCCACTCTGGGTAAAATGGCGGGACAACAGCGAAGGCATCCCAGCAGCATCGAGGAGTCAGCCACGCTTGGGTCTCAGTGTGGTCCCCTCTGCTGCTTTGGCTTTGCCTGCTTCCTTTTCTGAAATTCTCACCCCGGCTTCAGCGCTTCACTTGCTAGTGCTGCCCACTGCCCTATGGCTCGTGCTCTTTGCATCTTCCCCCTCCGCTGCCGGATGCCGTGGGGTTCGGGGGACGTCGCGCGGCCCCTTCCGATATGCGCAGAGAGTCTTGCTTTGGGTCAGGTAGGAACTGCAGGATGAGTCCCTGTTCTCATTTGACATCACGTCATAGGCACACTGCCTGCGCTGTACATGGCTGCCCTTCATTTAGGTCTCAAGCTGTTCTGGTCAGCTGTGGGTTAAAGCACGAAACAAAACATGCCCCGCCCCGTCCATAGAGGTGCCTTAAGAAGTGGCAGGTCCTCTGGAAGCCTCAGAAGGTAAGAATTTGTGCATAGTCCACAGGTGAGGGTGCCCATGAGGACAGAAGGGTCACAGAGAAGGAGTTCACCTATGGTCTTATTATTATTATTGAAGATTTTATTTATTTATTTGAGAGAGAGAGAGCACATGTTCATGAGCAGGGGGAGGGGCAAAGGGAGAGGGAGAAGCAATCAGGCTCCTTACTGAGCAAGAAGCCTGACTCGGGGCTCCGTCCCAGGACCCTGAGATCACGACCTGAGCCAAAGGCAGACGCTTAACCGACTGAGCCACCCAGGTGCCCCCGCTTATGTTCTTAAAGAGATTTCTCCCTCCCCAAATAAATAAAAATTAAAGCAAATATAAAGAGGTTGCCCAATAAACTTCACTAGCTGTTGTGAAATTAGGGCTTCCTGCCCTCCCTGCTTCGCCTCTGTGCCTCCATCTTTCCTCCACTTTTCTCTAAACTCTCTCCTCCCCATCTCTTCCTTCACCCAGACTGCAACAAGATGGCAGCCTCTTAATCCTCTGACTCACCTGGGCATGATTTCCAATTAGGGAAAAGATCCATTTGTAGACCCCAGGCGCAAGTTCTTGGCCTCCCACTTTGCTTCTGAGTTTCTCCTCTTGTGTGCGTCTGGCTTGCATGGTTCCGCCTGGGTTAGGGAAACACCAGTGGGTGTTATGTTCATCGAGTGTTCCTCGGATTTAAAGATTTAAAAACTGACCAATGATTTCTGCCTCACTTGCTACAAAGGAGTATTTGGAATATGATTCCGTGGGAGTTTATTTGAAATTCATATTAAAATCTGAATGAGTGAAAAAAGAAACCCGACCGTAGGTTTTGTTGGAGAGGGGAGGAGAAAGGAATGCCAAGGTGCGTGAGGGAAAGGAACAGAGAAAGGAAGAGAGCTGAAGATAGAGGACCTGGAAGGCAGGCTCCCTGCTTCTCATTTTTCTTTCTCCCTGGAGCCAGCCTACGGACCAGCCCTGATGGTTTTCTGTGTCCTACATGTACCTCTGTGCCCTTGATAGGGGAAGCTTGCTGCTGTAGAGTCCATAGTAGAGTGACTCTACCATTATCTGCGATGGCTAATCTCTTTATTTTCTATCTTTGTAGAAATGCAATCAGAGGTGCCAGTCTCTTGAGAGAAGCAACTACAGGAGTCAGGCAAGAACAGATCTGAATCATGGTCCTGGGAACTCATCCTTTGGCCCCAGTGATTTGGCTGGGATCTTGCTATGCCCCGAGGGAATTTATGTTCCTCAAACACATTATGCTCACAGAGCTTCCAAAAAAGCCACTAGGTGTATGGGCAGACTTGTGGCTGGGGCTGGTGGAAGTCTTACTATTAGCTTGAACAATATTTTTTTATGTCTGCTAGAAAATACCAATTTTGTCAACTTTCAGGAAAGGGAATCGGTGAATGGGGCCCCCATGAGTTCTTTTCAGGGAAATACGGTCTCTTGAGAAGGTGATAAATGGCATGACACACTTCACCTTTACGTAGATAGATTAGCAAGGAAATAGTGGTATTAGTTTTATTTCTCCAGAAGAAATGAGGGCAGGGCAGGGGGAAGTGGTTTGCAACCTTTGAATGATCTTATCTGTGCCATACTTTTATCTGCCCTCCTTCCTTAGTCACTGAATTTGTTCTTGGAGCATTCTGTGACTCATACTCTATCCTTACTTTCCTCTTTATCCTTCCTCACTAAGTTAGACAATTCTCTCCTGGTTCTTTTCTCTCAAGAGGGTGACCTGTATTACCTTGACGGTTACACCCTGATAGGACTAAGTTCACCTAGAAGTTCAGTGTCTTTTATGGTTTAAGTTATGGAATAGTAGGCTTACTTGCTTATGATGACTCAGCAGAGCCAAGGATCACTGGAGATCTCAGACACTTTTTTGAGTTTTTAAACTCAAAATAATGATAATTTCTGCAAATCAGAAATTGCCCTAAGATGCAGTTTAGTTTATTTATATGCATTTTATATATCCACATATATTACTGTCAAAAATGGTTTGCATCATAGTGCTGACATATATGAACAAGTTTGCTTTGTTAATTAGAACATCTTCTGGGATTTCTGAGGAATAAGCGGAGACATGACCCTAGATTAATTAAATTAAGATATTAATATTTAGATTTAATTAATTTAATGAAGATAGTAATACTTAATATTCAGAGATAGCATTTCTTCCTGTGGTGACCCATCTTAATTTTAGACTGAGGAAGATAAAAGTAGATTGACGAGAAAGAAAAAGGAAGGGTTAGGCCTAACTGAACTAGAGTCAATGGTCAGTTAGAATGCATTTCAGACTTCAGTGGTCTGTGGCGTGTGTTGAATAAATGATCTAAAGATCTGTTTACTCTGTGGAGTCAGAGGGTGGCCTCCATTTGCTGGTGGGATTTAAAAGCAGACTGTCTTAGCTCTGCCACCTATGCTTTATAACTTTGGGCAAGATGCCTAATTTCTCTGAGACTGATTCTTCATCTTATCTTGAAGATAAAATATCTCGTTGTGTTGGAAGGATCACGTTGTAGGAACTCAATGTCCAGAAAGAGGGGAACAGACTAACTTCTTAGATGTCGGTTTTTGAGGTTTTAGTGTTACCATTCTAAAACTTCTGTGTGTGACCAGAAAAACTCATGAATATTTGGTTTTGAAGGTGCAGGGATAATATTTTGCTAGAAATGGGTATGGGGCCCACGAGGTGACCCCCAGCTGTAGCTTTTCATGGCCATGTCACATGTGTAGAGCCTTAAGTAGTTGGTTTCTCTTTCCTCTTATTAGGAAGTAGTGTTCTGGGACTAGTTGAAAGCCTCTCAGTCTGCCAAGCTTCTGTTGCTCTAGATTGGTCCAAAGACAAATAGTCTCCCCACCCTTGCTGGTGCTGTCCCATTGTTCTGGAATGTTCTTGACTCTCACTGCCCAGTCTAGACATTTCTTCAGATCAAGCAGCCGCCCTCCCCACGTACTTTACTCCTAGTTGGATTATAACGTCTCCTCCATGCATCTTAATTTATTGCGTGGATCCCAGTCAGTCACCCACCACATGCCCCCCAAATATGAGAATGTGAACTGAATGACTGGCACGAAGACTGAGACACTTGCCTAGCCTTATCATTCTGTGGGGTTCCCATATCATGTTGAATGAGGAGCAAAGGAGTGGGAGAGAGAAGTCCTACTGTGCTTGTCTAATACAATATTTTCTACAAACGAGGAAAACGCTTCTCAAGCTTTGCAGAAAGTTTATTTTCAACTCTGGTTCAGCTTTGAAGCAGTCCACAGGGCAGGACCTGTCGCCCCACTTCCCACCTACTTTTCCAAAGGATACACCTATGCTACATCTATTTGAAAACACTCTTGGGAGTGCAGTTGGCCTGTGGGAGTTATTAGTCATCTGATTGCTAAGGTCAGCATAAATCACCGTTTATGCATTTTGAAGACTGAAGTTGTAGGTTTTGGAAAAGTGGAATCAACAATTAAGGGAATTTGCCATAGTCATGTTGGCCTTGAGAGGCTTTGTTTTAAAATATCTGGGGGGAGAGGGGACCTGGGTGGTTCAGTCAGTTAAGGGTCTGACTCTTGATCTCAGCTCAGGTCTTGATCTCAGGGTTGTGAGTTCAAGCCCCAGGCTGGGTGTGGAGCCTACAAACAAACAAGTGAATTATAAAAATCCAGAAAATACAGGTAAAGTGGTTTATTTGACTACCACTTGAATTCTCTGTATAATTGCTAGGCCCCAAACAGACCTCTTGGCCTTTCTGCCAGTTTTCCCCCTGGGCCCTTCTGTGTCTGGAGAAATCCTGATTATCTTGGAGGGCCCAGCTGAGTTGTAATGTCTGCTGTGAAACCTTTGACCAGCCCCAGCCCCAGGCAGAGTCCACCTGTGCCCTCTGTGCCCCATCTATCTGTTTTTACCTAACTGGATAGTGCTTATCTTCTCGTTCGGCTTTTGTCATTTTAGCCTCTCCAGGGCCCGATGGAATGCAGCTCCGGAGGGTCTGGAGAGCTTTACATCTTTGCCAACCTCAACCCACACAGAGGTCATCAGGTTATCAGGTTGAATTCGATTCACCTGATGTTGTTAGTATAAAATAAATAGGGTGCTGTTTTCATGCCAATCCAGAAGTGTCCTACTGTCCAAGTCACTGACAGCATGCACTAGGCTGACAGAATGACCAGCTGCTTTTTCAGCCCCAGGTTTAGGTGCTGTGAAGCCTTTCCAGAAGGTGTGAGTCCTTACAATGTCAGGCATTGGACAAATTACCTTTTCTTTCTTTCTTTTTTTTTTTCCCCCTAAATTAACTGCTTCGTTGAGGTATAATTTACATACCACAAAAGTGAGGCATGTGATTCGGAAGTCTAGTTCACACACCGTAAAACACCAAATTCACCCATTTTGAATGTACAATTCACTGATTTTCAGTATGTTTACAGAGTTGTGCAACCATGACCCCCATCTAATTTAGAATATTTTTTAAAAAGATTTTTATTTATTTATTTGACAGAGAGAGAGAGCACAAGCAGGGGGAGTGGCAGGTAGACGGAGAAGCAGACTCCCGGCCGAGCAGGGAGCCCTATGAGGGGCTCGATCCCTGAGCCGAAGGCAGACATTTAACCGACTGAGCCAATCCGGTGCCCCTAATTTAGAATATTTTTATCACCTCCAAAAGAAACCTCCTGTCCTTTATAGCCACTTCCTATTTCCACACCCAAACCTTACTTTCCTGTCTGTATGAATATGCCTTTTCTGGACATTATATATAAATCAAATTATATATATTTTTTCATGTCTGGCTCTTTTGCTTTGTGTGATATTCTTGCGGTTTGTTCATGTTGTAGCATGAATCGGTACTTTACTCCTTTAGATGGGTCACCTATTCTTCCATCATATGGATGTACCACATCTTATCTTTGATCCATTGATAGACATTTGGGTTACTTCTACTTTTTGGCCATTATGAATAGTGCTACTGTGAACATTCCTGAGCAAGTCTTTGTATAGACACAGGTTCTCATTTCTCCTGGGTAGATCCCAAGAGTGAAATTGCTGGTCCATGTGGTTACTCCATGTTTAACATTTTGAAGACCTGCCCAGCTGGTTTCCAAAGCAAGGTGATGCATTGTGCATTCCCACCAGCAGTCTGTGAGGGTTCCAATTACTCCACATCCTCACCAAAACTTGTTACTGCCTGCTCTTTTATTTACACCATTGTAGTGGCTATAAAATTATAGCTGTGATTTAGATTTGCATTTCTCTAATGAACAACGATGTCCAACATCTTTTCATGTCTTTGCTGGCCTTTGATAGATCTTCTGAGAAGACGAACTGCCTTTTAGACCTTGTTTCCTTGCATCTCGGTATTATGGCAATCCTATTTTATAGATGAGGAAACCGAGGTATGGAGAATTTGGGGTACTTTCCCAAGGACACCCAGTTCATAAGTGTCAGAGTCAAGAATATTAAATTTGTTTTGAGGGTGGAGTGGACTGAGAGATGAAATTGTCCAACACTGAATTAAGAACACACTGCATGGCCCCAAATGTTAAGGTTTTTGCCTCCTGAATCCTCTGACTAAGCAATTGGCTAAGACTTCTTTAAAAGAGGAATAAAACTGGGCGCCCGGCTGGCTTAGTCGGTGGAGCACGAGACCCTTGATCTCCAGGTCGTAAGTTCAAGTCCCATGTTGGGTGTAGAGATTGCTTAAATAAATAAGCTTTAAAGAAAATCTCTTAAAAATAAATAAAGCAACCCATGTAAACGAGACGCAGTTACTTGTGATAGGACCCTTTTTCTCTGGGTTTACACAAACCACAATTCCTCCTCTTTTTAAGAAGCAAATGGCTCCCAAGATGTCCATCAACAGATGAATGGATAAAGAAGATGTGGTATATATATACAATGGAATATTATGCAGCCATCAAAAGGAATGAGATCTGCCATTTGCAACGACGTGGATGGAACTGGAGGGTATTATGTTGAGTGAAATAAGTCAAACAGAGAAAGACATGTATCATATGATCTCACTGATATGAGGAATTCTTAATCGCAGGAAACAAACTGAGTGTTGTTGGAGTGGGGGTGGGGTGGGAGGGATGGGGTGACTGGGTGATAGACACTGGGGAGGGTATGTGCTCTGGTAAGCGTTGTGAATTGTGCAAGACTGTTGAATCTCAGATCTGTACCTCTG